ATCATAGAAACCAGCTAGTCATAATTAGAATCTTACACTTAACGGAAAAAAGAAACACAATCATGTGTGATTAAAAAAATCTTAATTAGATATCACTTTTTAACCATGGTTATGATACAGTAAGAATCCATATATATATATATATATATATATATATATATATATATATATATATATATATATATATATATATATATATATATATATATATATATATATATATATATATATATAACATTTACTAATAACTTATTTTTAAATTTTTATATTATTATGTATTTATTTTATTTTATTCTCTTTTCATAAATCAACTAAAAAAATATTTTAGAATTATATATAAAATGTTTGAAAAAAAATCTTTTGACAGTTAATTTTTTTCAAACATCATTTATATAATCTTAAAATATTATTATTTTTTAATTAATTGATAAAGAAAATAAAATAAATAAATAAATAATAATATAAAAATCTTATTATAGAATAGAAATTTGAGAAATAAAGGATTGTGAATATATTATAACCTTTTTAATAAAGAAGAATAAACAAGTAGTGTGTTGTAAACCGGTTTTCTTTTCCATGTTTCATTAACAATTGTAAAAAGTAAAATTAAAAAAATCACTTTATTTAATATGATATTTTTATAATTTTAATGAAAACATATAAAAAGAAAAATGAAATCTAATAAACTATCCCTAAATTTGTATTTACAAAACATTTTTTTTATGTTATTTTAAGATATTTCATTGCTTTCAGACTAAAATTAGTTCGAGAGGTAAGAATTTTTTATTTTTTTTGTAAATATATGTATTTGTAAATCATATATGAATTTTTATATGTTTTTTTATAATTGAAAGTTTAACATTTTTTTTATAAAAATTGAATAACTTTTATAAGATTGACTTTTTTTTTACACACTTATATGTTTTCACGAAATGTTTTCTTTTATTAACTCTTTGTAAATATTTTGTGTTTGTACAGTGTATATGCAATTTTTAGGAAATTTAAATATATTAAAATTAAATTATTTATTTGGATAAGATAATTTTAATTTATTGAATTTTAACGTTTTTGTTTAAATAAAATATTTTAATTATTATCAAATATAAAAAATTTTATTACAGATTTATAAATTAGATTCAACATATAATCACTACTACAGATAAGGCCTTTCACGTTGGGTTATGGAAGACCTTCAACAGTAGTTTCACAACCGACGTTGCATTAATTGATTTTGAAAGTTTAGACTTTCAACGTCAGTTCTATATATCCGATATGAAAAGTCCGATTTTTCAGATCGATAATTTTTATTTATTTACAACCTCTCTATTTATCTAGAGATATCCCTCCCTTTTATAAGAATCTCCCTTTTATATTATATTTTTATACCTTAGAGTTGGAGACTGGTACTCCAATCACTAAACTACTAAAAATTTCTTATAATAATTTATAAATAAATTATATTTATATACAAATATATATATATATATATGTGTGTGTGTGTGTAAATATATAAATATAAAATATATAAATACAAATATATTTATATATTTTGATATATTTATATAGTTATATATTTATATGTTGGATGTGAAGACACGCTCGAAGGTGAAAGTGTGTGTCGAGTGAGTTTTCAAAATTTGATGTCAAATTTATGAGCGGATCTCTTTATATGAGTTTGTAATTTAATGACGGAATATAATCTTTATAATTTATTTATATAATGATATAAAATAAATTTGAGAGATGTGTCATTCGCTTAAGCGAAAAATACCAATTTTTGCTCAAGCGAGATATTTTCGCTTGAGCAAGTGAATTTCAGTAAACTTTAACTTATTTTCGCTCAAGTGAGAGTCAATCTCACTTTCATCCTCAAGCGCACTCTCATATCCAACATATAAATATATAACTATATAAATATATAAAAATATATAAATATATAACTATAAAAATATATCAAAATAGATAAGTATATTTGTATTTATATATTTTATATTTATATATTTACACGAATATACATTTTTTGGTATATAAATATAATTTATTTGTAAGTTTTTATCGAGAAAATCTTAATAGCTTAATGATTGAAGTATCAACTTTCAACTCTAAGGTACTAAGTTTGAATTTTGCTAATAACAATTCTCTAACTTAAGCAAATTTTTGACTGAAACAAAAAAATAAAAACACTTTCTATATCGGTTACAATCAAAACCGGTGTAGAAAATGTGTCAATATGTATTCAACGTCTAATGAATCCATGACCAAATGAATTTGTTAAGAATAAAATTGGATTTTGCATTGGAGTGGTTAGATCAAAATGATTTAGAACAAACTGATAATATATTGGATTGAATTTTACCATGACAAATTGGATCAGGCTCGATAATGTTTATCTAGGTCAAGTGATATGAGAAAAAAATATGAAAAAAGAGACCAAGATTTAAAAGAAAAAAAAATAAAAAATAAAAAATCTTATTTTGTAGGTGAAATTTGAATTACTCTTATTTTAAGTAGTTAAAATGATCTCATGAATTTTTTGAATTTTAATTAATTTTTAAATTTTATATTCAAACAACTAATTTTATTATAAAATATTTTAAATTCTCTATTACTTTTTATAATATTTACAAGTAAAATATAAATAATATAATAAATAAGACATATTTTTTTAATTTTAATTTATTTATAATATTATAATGTATCTTGATGGATATTCCTCGTTTACATAATAAATAAATTATTCATCGTAATTAATTATCATGTTATAATTAAAGATTTTCTAAAAATTATGTATACATAGTTGAGATATCCCTAAATCCAAAAAATACAATCCCTAATTCTTTATATAAATTGTAAGTCGTTTTTGTTAATTTATTGAAAGTCGATTGAAATGAGTTAATAGAAAAAAAATTATACAAATATCTCAAGTTATATTTACATTAAGAAATAAGCTACAATTATACCACAAACTAAAGATAAACGAAATTATATTTGTATGAATTTTTAATACGTACATAATTTAATTTCATAAAGTTAACATCTTTCAGCATAATATATAACTGTAGAAGTGAAAATACTTTCCATTAATTTTTTAAAGATGATATATTTTATTTAATAATAGTAATAGGTTGGTTGAATCGGTGAACATTCGTGGGTGGGCCAGAACTTAACTCTTCTTTCTCCGCAATTACCGTTTCTATGTCTGAATTTGAAGGGGACGAACCCCTTCATCACCGCCACATATTACATTCACATGACACCATCAACAACAAAACACATGTTTAGGTCCTAAAACCATGTAAACGTGCAAAATGATTTTTATATTTAAATAAATTATTTTTAATATGTTATGACTTGTGACGAAACGTTCCAAGATACATGTTTTAAAATGATTTATTAAATAAGATTTACAATTTAATTATTTATTATAATTTATTAGATTTTGAATATTTTATTTTATTTAACAACATACATTAATAATAACATTAATAGTTGATTTGGTTTACTGTCCGATCTCATATTTAATGCTATACTTTGTTTGTCGTTACTTTTATTCCGTCGTAACTAAAAAAACAACGACCCAAGACCACACTATTTATTAAATTTCTCATATTATCAATTTCATATATTTTTCACCAACCAAGTTTCATGGTCTTTTCATGTTGTCACTTAATCATAACTGTTAATGGAAATTCAAAGTGGAACAATCACTCATTTAAAATAGAAAAGGTTTTGTATTGGTATACAAATTTGTGTAATTGCGTAATCTTTCGCATCTTTTAAAATTTGTGGTGCTAATTGCTATACATTGCAAGTGGAGGTATAACAAAGGCAGTACCATTTATAACGAAAATTTAACCAAAAATAAATACGAGACATTTTTAATTTTATAAAATATTTTTTTTTTCCTTTTTGTTGTGTTTTTTCATCTTTGATAATATACCATTTTGTGACTATGATACTTCATTTTCCTTTGTTATCCATAAGGATTTAGTTAAAACAAGTTAATCAAATTTTTAATTGTGCAACATAAGTTAAACCATCCTGACAAAAATGACCACCCAACTTTTTTTCTTTATGTTTATCTTAAATTAAATAATTAATCTTTTTTTAATTTATGTTTACCCTAATATTTATAATTTTTAATCTAAAATTTAAATGCGATTTTTTTACTTCATTTACAACATTTTATATATATTGACAAATTAAATTTAAAGAAAAAAATATTTTAAAGATATTATTTTTTAAAATTTTATTTTATTATAATTTTATCTTTAAAATATATATATAAAAAGTATCTTTGGATTTTACTCCTAAACAATATTTATTATACTTAAGAGTATATAGCTCATAACTAAAAATACTAAAGATTAAGTTTAGTTCATATAAAAAAAAATTCTTCAAATAATCAATTAAAAATAATATGTATAGATAATGGTTGACATAAATATAATTATTCGTGTTTTTCCATTGAATAAGTTGAGAAGTGACGTATAAAATAGATTACGTTAAAGAAAACATTATCTTCTATTAAGTATTAATAAAAAAAATTATACGATATAAAAAAATTAATTTACAAAACAATTATTATAAAATTAATGATCTTACCGTATACTATAATTAATGATTAAACAATAATCTTTATAATAATCTCTAAAAAATTTATACAAATGCATTTTTAATCAATATAAAGAATAGTCTATCATAATTTGCAGCATGTACTCTGAAAATCAACTTCCTCTAAAGAAATAAATATTAAATCGGTCAGAGTGTATATAGTGCACGAGTAAAACAACCCTTCTGTACTTTATTTTTTCTAAACTTCCTTCCGAGAGTCGTTCCATTACACTGCGCAGTTCCTTCTTCTCTTTCTCTCTCTGAGTGGTGAGCACAGTGAGAAGCCAAAGTGCAAGAGAAGAAAAGGGTTGGTGTTGGTTTATGGTGTGATGTGAGTGATGAGATTATAAAATAATATTCACAAAGGGTCACAGAGCCACAGCATCATGGAAGAAGCAGAGAAAGAGTTAGAGAGAAGGAGCAAGTTTCTGAGCAGCTTGATACTGAATAAGAAGTCCATAGAACAGTGTGAGAGCCTCAAGGTTCATGTCAGAGCTTGTGACATGCCCCTCCCTTTGCAGAACCGTGCCTTCCATTGTGCACGTCTCCACTTGGAATCTCTGCCACCTGGCAACAAGCTTGACAGTAAACTCCTTGCACTTGCCCTTAAGAAGGTTACATATATATACTCTTTCTTTTTTCTTTTATCTTCTGGGAAAACTTTCAAAATCTGTTTTTGTGGTCTGATCTTTGACACATGATGCAAAGTGAATAGTTTCTGATTTAGAAACTTTTGGAAAATGCTGTTATTGATTCTAATTGTCTTGGCCGAGTGAAATTAGTGTCTTTGTGACTGAATATTTAATAGAACAAAACGTAGATATGATTCCTTTTGTACTTTAAGTGCTCTTCTCGAATCAGAATTGGAATTCTAGTTTACATTGATCTTTAATACAAACCTTGTTATCATCATTATTACTGAGGGAAAATTCCATTTACTAGCTCCAATTTAGTTTTGTCTTATTTAATATTGACTCTTTGATTTGGCTAGATCTTATTATAGTTTAGAAGAAAATAATAATGCAACATAATCAACGGATTAAGTATATTAGCCATATTTATATGCAGATTTTGATATTGGGTGTTGGTATAAGGTCAATTGGGTTAACATCAATGGAATGTGTCTAATTGCTTTATGCTTCAGTCAGCTAGTTGGAACTAACTTGTTTCTGTTTCTTTGCCTTCTAGATGGTGAGTTTTGTCCACATATGTCACACGCACACGCATGCTGAAAGAGTGATTTTTGAATACTTGTAGAGTTGGAGGGATATTTCTTTTCCAATTGCTAACTTGGTCTTGAACTCTTTATTTTGATCCTACAATCTGCATATTCTTTCTAGCTTTCTATTCTATTTTTGACCCTAAATAACCTTCTAAATCATTCTCTCGAAGTCTCTGAACCTTTATTTGGGTTTCAAAATTATTATGGTGGTTCCATGAAGTTTTCTGTGGCCTTTATCTCACTTTCATTCTCATATGCACCAAAACCACATATTCTGCACTTGCAGCAACCCTTACTTCAATCTAGTGCTCATAATTCACCAATACATGGAATTTCGGTTTTATTTTCCATTTTGCCTTCTGAATCTTAATTTATTAACATATATTGATAATAATGTGGTAAGATTCCAGATCTGAAGCCATGTCCTTAAATCCCTTTTCTTTTTCCCTCTTCTCTTATCATTGTTCTTGCTCTCCATTCCCAGGTTCCCAGATTCTCAGATCATAGTCTAATCAATCAGTATAGTAAAGGACCTTACAATACAACAGTACTAGACAGTCTAACTACCAATCCAGTGGAAGGTTCATCAAACAGTTTCACACTCCACTTACTTTCTAACACACCTGGGCCAGCACTATCTATTGTCCAACATCCTGACGGTCTAATTGCTGAGTCTAATTTTGGAGTCATCTTTATATAAAGTTATGGAAAATAGTAAATGTTAAGAATAGAAATCAAAGAGGTCATACATTGTCTGCAGATTTAACTTCAACTAATAAGATTTTTCTCTTTCCTTTTATCCCAAGACGTTTTTCCTCTTCTTATTTGTTAATGGTAACATGCTTGATCGACTATGTAAATGTCTTAAACATGGGTTAAATGTCTCGCTTTGCAACAATAGAGAGACTGCTCCTTAGTTACCACCTTTTTAATGATATCAAACAACTGCACATGCGTAAAGGGTGAGTAGGTGTATGTAAATAAATATAAAGCGAAAAGCAACAGTGGTTAATCCTCAAAAACAGATCCAACACCACTTGTATTATGTATCCTCTTTTATTATATTAAATTAAAGGTTTCAGATGAGTTGATGAAGATGCTATTACAATTTGTTATCTTTGGGAAAATATGCAAGTATAAATGGAATTTTGTCATTGAAAGGTTCTAGGATATGATAGCAAGGTATGGAACTTGAGTCCCATACTATAAGTAGGAGATTCTAGTGTGGGATTTATAAGGCCTTTGGCTCTGCAACTACAATAAGTAACTTTTTTGGTGTGATTCTTCCAAAGTTCTTACGAATTGATAGCAGAGCGTTCCACCATGTCTTCTAGCTTCCTGTGTTTGCCTTGGATTAGTCAAATGAGTAGTGCACTATGGGGTACTAGGGCTACATAGCATGGTAGGATGTTAGGACCTCGAGTAGGATTTATAAGCATTGTGCTCTCTGAATACAACATCTAGCTTTTGTGGTGTGGTGCTCCTCCCAAGGCTCTTGTCACAAGGATTCAAATGTTCAAGCTTGTATCTTTTTGATAGCAACTTGGAAGGAACACAGAATTGTAATTAGAATGAATTTTTGGAAGTAGTCTTTGCATCTGGTTTGGTCAAGAATGCCCATATTTTACTTACTGTGTGAGTTCTGTAGCTATTCCTATATTATACATACCAAAGTGAAAACAGAACTCAGATCAGAAGTGATAAAATTCCAATGTCTGTTGACAGCTGATCATTGAAATGGAAGGGCATGTTGAGTTGCAGCAAATCTACTTATAGCAGTCATGCATAAGGATTTTGTGCAATAGTTGATGTTCTTGACCTCAGGCTTAGTAATTTTCAGTTAAATAATGAAGGTGGGTAAATATCCTTATCAGTTTGCCTCTCTTATAAAATGAATGTCAGTAACATTTAAATTAGTTATGCTATCTTTGGGACTAATTTGATTTTTACATGATTCTTGAGTGATGCTTGCTTGCTTCATCTATTATACTCACAGCAAGCATGCCTTGACATTGCTTGAAAACCTATTGCTGGCTATTATTGTCTTTACCTTTTTCCCTTCTTGAGCTATGGTTTATGGTAGAAGATATAAGTTTTGTTTGCTGGTGTGAACAACTTGGATGGCTAATGATAGAAACTTACTGGGCTTACAGGAATTTGATTCTTCATATGGTCCAGCTTGGCACTGCATCGTGGGTACTAGCTTTGGCTCCTATGTCACACATTCTCTTGGTGGCTTCTTGTACTTTTCCATTGATAAGGTTTATATCCTTCTTTTCAAGACAGCAGTTGAGCCATTGGACCATTGACAACTTCCACAACTCTGAGGCATGCTTCCTTGGAAAAAATGTTTACAATTTTAAACTGGGATGTGTAAAATTACAAAGTGAAACATTTAAATACACCTGTATTCTGTGATGTAGTTGATGTATTCCTATTCAACAAAGAAAAGAGTATTTGGTGCAATTTTATTTGGATTTGTAGTCTGCGGGAGAGCATTTTCAATGCAGAATTTGTGGTGCCAATAAGTCACTAGATTTAAATATTGTTCAGCTCACCATAACATTTCATAGAATTTTCCATCTGATGAAAAAAAATAAAAATTATGGTTGATACTTTTGCCCAATAGTTTGTATATAATGAAACATGCTCATAGATAAATGTTCACATGTCCTTTCATTGGTTTTTGTTAAAGCATGGTATTTTGTAGTTGGAAGCCATGAAACTAATAGATCGTAGAGATCACCATTAATTGAACAATGTAAATTATCAAATCATATATAAATTCATGAAAGCATAAGTTCTTAAAGTCGAAACCTTTAAACAAAAGTTTTTTTTTTTTTCCTAATAATTTGAGCGTTGTAGTAAAACACTGATCATGTGAGTTCAAGGGTGTTGTTTATTTAAAGCATCAACTTGCATTAAGAAAGATGAGTATAAATGAATCTTTATTCTCAATTATTTTTCTGTTATCTTTTTCATATTTCATATTCTATTCTTAGTTAAATTATATTATAAACTATAAAACATATATTAAAGAAGTTATAACTTACAAAGATTCTAAATAACGAGGATGTGAATATCACACATTTCACTTGTTTATTCATTGTTATAATATTTTTCCTTTAGCATATTGTGCTTTTATAAATGTCGTTAGATAATCTTTTTAATTAAAAAAAATGAAATAAACAACTCACAGGAAAGAAAAGTACAAGTTCTACCAATAAGCCAAACTAATTAGTTGAAACATAAATAACAAATTTAGGCCTAACAAGGTAATTACAGCAACGATTTAAATAAATTCTTCCTCGTTTGTACAAAAATTGAATGGAAAACTCACGTTACAATTGCCAATATACATTTTGACCAACCTCGCCATCCTTTGAATCCTCTACATGAGGAACACAAAATTGGGTATGCAGCAATCTTTTAGAATGAAGAGTGTTGAACCATTAAGTTTTACAAGACAACTACACTCAAAATTAAAGTAAGAATGAGAGAGCTTGTTAAAGATCCATCACTGTAATACTGTGACAAGCAACCAGAATTTGTGGAGTTGGTAGATGGAGCCAATGCTGTGCCATTTATGCTGCTACCATTTTTTCCAGCACTAGTAAAAAAATATAAAGAGACAACAAAATATGATAAGCATATGCAACATTAAATTTTCAGCCTTTTTGTGAAGACAAGAGAATTGGAAATAAAAAAAGACTATTAATATGTCAGGCAAAAGAGAAGGCAACTAGTACATGTAATCAACAAATAATATTATATCAAATATATAGATATCAACATAAACTTGAAATCATACCTTCCGGGAAATATACAGGAACCATGACCTGTGACAATGAAAATACAATAAATCAGTGATGTTAAAATACTGAACAACTTGAAAGTGAGATTTGTGCATGCAAGGCTTTTTTCTGATGTGTGACAGATATGAGTTAACAAAGGGAAAAGCTGCAAAAATAGCAACTATAAGTCAAATGGCAAAAAAATAATTGACCATTTTAAGAGGCTTAATTTTGAACCAAATGAGATAACAGAATGTAATCACTAAGGGTGCGTTTTTAGTAATTAGAATTAAAGAAACCGTTCTTAGAATTTCTTTTATGCAAAGCTAATGATTATTGAGAGCCAAACACGGCTAATGTTTTTTCAAGAGAAAAAAAAAAGGAATAGAAAATAGCCATCAATTATGGTATCTGTAATTTCAAAGATGGTTTTGAGGCAATCTCATGAAATTTGAATTTCACAATCTTATGCATCTTGCATAAAATACTTTCCCCCAAATAACATGATAGGAATTTGGGCATTATGGGGTATCAAGATCTCACATTGAGTGGAATAGAATATTTAAGTGTTTAAGTGTTTGGTTGGTTCTTCCCTGAAAATCTAGTTTTTGAGGGACGTTCCCCAAATGCTTGGGTACTAATCATAGCAGAAGTTTCACAAAAATCCATACTGCTTGTACGTCCTTCATTCATCAAATCTAGATAGGGTGTGTTACATGTGCAAGGGTACCAAGTTTACACATGTATTTTCATTACAAGTCTGTTTGGATTTAAGCTGCAAGTGCTTTAGAGAGATTCTATACTTCAAGTAGAGAAGCCTGAAAAAGTATTTCTAACTTGTGTATTGATATTTTTCAATCCAACAATTTAGATATGACTTATATGTAAAGACCCCTTACTTGGATTGGTAGTTGTGACAGAGGCAACTCCTTTGAAATCACAGGTCCCTGGAGATTTAGCCATCAGCTGATAGTAAGCATTGATAGCATATGTAGCATGTGCAGCTACACTATTTGGTTCATAACACGGTTGACCCTGCAGCAATGGTGAACAATCCACCTTCCCCGGTCCACAAGCCCAATCTAGTGCAGCTTGAAGCATCTTAGTATCTGCATTACTCTTAGAAACACAAAAGGTTTGGTTTGTTGTGTCATTTGCAAATATAGTACCAGAATTAGTCAAGTGTAAGGTATACACTGGAGCTCCATTAGCATCAAACAGTCCCCAATTATTCTCAGACACTGGACCTGTTCTTAAGTCTTCATTATAGAGCTCATAAATATAAGTGCTAATTGCAATTCCAGGTTGCTTAGGAGTCCCGCTATTGTTAAGGACATGCCTGATCAAGTTACTATTGTAGGTGTTAGCATTATCAATAGTTGCATCCGGCTCAGACGAATCTCCTTTGGAGGGCCATCCTGACTCAGTGACTAAAATAGGGATGTTGGTAAAGTTCAAATACGACATTGCAAAATAAGCAGCATCAACAACTGCATCAAAGACATTAGTATAATGCAGGAGGGTGTTGGAATCAATAGCTTCTTTATTTGGGGGCAAGGGCCGGAACAAAGCATAGTCTAGAGGGATTGCATCTTTGTTTTGCATGAAATCATAATAAGGGTACACATTGAGCATAAGATAAGAACCTGTTGATTGCAAAAATTTGAGCAAGGGAACCATGACATGATCCCAAGTTTTATTAAAAAATGCCTGAGAAGGTGGGAAAGAGTCAAGGATGATATAAGAAGAGTGTGGAGTAGAGACTTTGATTTGCTGATCAAGATTGGCTGCAACTAAAGCAGCTTGAATGAATTTTAGTGCTGAGACTAGGACAGGAGCTGCATTTGGGATGGAAGTTAGGATTTCAGAACCAACTGCTATGGCAGTAATGTTGGTAGCAGGAACATGAGCTATGACATTGCGTGAAACCCAATTGGCAGCCGTGGCATTGGACTGACCAATGCCGAGAAGCTGGTCATTAGGAACAGAAACAATTACACGGATTCCTGTGTTGGCAAGTGCACGGAGCATGGCTCTGTCAGCATCATATAGTCTAACATGTTGAATACCTTGAGCCTCAAGAAGGGCCACAACCTCTGTTGGACTTGGCATGTCAGTCACAGCTGTACCAATGTTGACACCAATAAAAGCATCTGCAGAGAACAACAACAAATGAAGGACTTTTGACAAAAAGAATCTTTCATTTTCAGAAAAGTGAGACAAAGTTTCCACCTGATGCTGATGAGATAAAACAGTGAATTGGAGTTATAACCATCCAAAAGAAACAATGAAATTGTCTAATCCAAATGCAGCACCATCCAAAAGAAACAATGAAATTGTCTATGTAACAGCAAATCTAAATATGTAAATGAATTTCTTTTCCTGCTCTTCAATGATTTAAAACACGCAGCTCTTGCATGACCAGTGGGTCATAAATCCTTGTTTCAATTTACAGGAAATCAAGAAATGCAGTTAAAATTTGCATTAAACTTTTAGCATACGGATGCTAAAGCTGAAAAGCAACCTTCAGAAGCAGAAAAATAATAATAAATAAATTTTTTGGGAGAATAAGCAGTGAGCTAAAAGATGGTTTCTCCTCCCACCATAATTCAAATAATATCCTTGATAGCAAAGACTAACAAAGAAAGATATTCAATTTTTAAGAACACATTCACGTCGAATCAAATTCATAGAAATGTAAAAAACATAACAGACCTCTCTATTGATATAACCAATTTTGGTAATTAATAGTACTTCTATACAACTTGTCCCATGGATTGCTACGGTATAAACTATGCACATTGGCTGAATTAATTTAGCCCCTGAAGTATCACACTCTCTGTCTCCTGATTAGCCCTGAAACTAACAGAACTATATAAGTAGTCCCTAAAGTATTGTCCACCAATTTAGTCCTTGGAATGATATATTTTACTATCATTGAGAGACTACTTTGAAGAATTTTCAATACTTGAGAGACTATGTAGCATGATACTTAGAGACCACTTTATAATTTCATTAGTTTGAGGACTAGTTAGGAGAGAAGGTGAATCAGGTTCAAATTGATGGTTTAATCTTTTTGTTGTGTCCCCTATCATTGGCTTGGACCTAGCTTCAGGTTGCTTACAGTGGGTTGCAAACACTGAATGTAAAGTCCATCCATTTAAGACTAATTCTGGCAACTGATCCATAACCTAGGTTTTTCAATCTGATTTGGCAGTATTTAATTTGTTTTTTGGTGCAATAAGAATATTCCAGCCACAGAGGATAACCTTTTTGGAGATAGTTTTATACCAAAAAGTAGGGAAATCTCTTACAACCAGAGGGATAATGTGTCAAAAAAATATAAAAATATAACAAATCCATGAACTTGTTGTACATTTTTTAAGAACATTATGATTCATGAAAAGGAGAATTATTCAATTGTTTTAGAATCCAGGTCAATTTACCTGTCTACTTGTGAAGACAGCTAGCTATGGTTTTCAGTTCCATAAGTGAGAAAGCTAGAACAGAACAGTGAAGAATTAAATCCTTCCACAGTTTAGCTTAAACAGTCAGAATACTATAAGAACATAAGGCAGAAACTCTAAGAACAAAAGTATGAAGAAGGGATAGATTGTCTAATTGTTCATCTTGATAAAAAGAAATAACTTTAAATTATCAATTTTAAAATTAGAAATGAATGCTAATTTACATTTTCCAGGGTAAATGCAGAGGTTAGAATGATCAATGATGTACTTTGATTATCAAGTCTTGTAGAAGCTAGGCCTAATTGTTGCTTCTAGCATGTGTTGATTTACCATAATTGTAGAGAAATGATCACTTATTTTTCAAAAGTTTTCTTAGAAAAATTAAAGTAAATGAGAGGGTCTGTTTGAATACTCTTTCTGTTTCTAAAAATTCAAAGAAACAAGGGCTTGAAAGTGGACCAAACATGCCCAAAATACTTACCTTTCAAAATAAGTTGAAATAAACATTGAGTTCTATCCACATACCACCACATCCATTCATTACTCAGTAAGAGTATTTTAGTCTGACATTTTTTTTTTCAAAAAAAATGTGGTTAAACGCAACTGCAAAAGAACAGTGTGATGAGTTGGGACGCAATGACATTATTCCCAAAATCCCACTAAAAGACAGGAAGGACATGGCGTAGATTCTGCACAAAGAAAAAAGAAAAATATATTTCCCAAAATTTCTTTTTTGGCATCGTCATGCTCATGTTGCATGTAACAAGGTTAAGCCTTAATAAACAGTTAAGCTAAATATAATGATGAGAATAACCACAAGAGAAGCAAAACTGCTGAAAAAAGAACACTTTCTTTTTGAAGACACACCCTCTCTTGTATTGGTTCTTCTATTCATTGAAATTTATCTGAATTTCTGTAAATTAGACCATCAAAAGCAAAATGGGACCCACTAATTTAATGTGACTCACGTGAATTTCACAATGAAGAGTATTACATAAATTAATGGTCTGTATTACACAATGAGTTGCTAATATTTTTCAAGAGGGTTTCACATTCCCCACCTAAAACAGAGAGGGAGAGAGAGAAAGATGTAAACCCACAGGGAGAATCTTGAGCATGACAGAAAAAAAAAACACACACAACTTTCATAGTTGAGGTGGGTATACTAATCAAAGCACAATGCCCATATAATGAATAATAGACATATATATATATATATATATACACACATACATATATATATATATATAGAGAGAGAGAGAGAGAGGACAAAGAATATTTAATAAAAGCCAGTAGACATCATGATATGAAAAACCCATTAGAGAATATTCATATTGTTGGACTAAGGTCAAGGAATACCCGAAGGAACGTAGAAAAGGGAACCGAAATGGCCTAAGGGAAACAAAGAAGGAAGAAAAGAGAAACACTTACCTCCAAAAGCAGTCACAAATATTGCAAGCAGGTGAAAAATCATGAGCACAGCCATCAAAGCTTGGTTAGATAAAGCCACTGTGCTATAAAGAGAAAAAGAGTGGCTCTGGTTGCAGTGTGGTGTGATTGCAGAATGGAAAACAATGGAGAGGGCTAGAAAAGTTGGAAGGATCAAGGAGAAGAGGAAAAAACAAAGAAAGATTGCAGCTTTTGGAGAGTTGAAAGAGATGAGAGAGAGAAAGTGGTGGGAGAGAGGAAGTTATTGAGTTGAGTTGTGATGTGAGGTGGAGGAAGAGGCTCGTGGTGGTCAAAGCCTAGAGGGGACTTAGATTTTGTATGGGTCTTACCAACAAAGATACTTTTTATTTATTTATTTAATAATAATAATAATAATAATAATAATGTTACTACTATATTAAATAGATATTATTGATAAGAAAAATACATATTATTAAAGAATTATTTAGAATTATAATTTATAAATTTATCTTTTTTTTAACTAAATTTATAAAATTAAAACTATTTAAAATAATATTATTAAAATTTATTTTTTATATTACAATTAACATTTTATAAAGATTAATTTTATTTAGATTTATATTTTTTAAAATAAATATTTAAACTAAAAATTAAAAAAATACATCTATAAATATTCATAGATACTTGCGGGTAATAAACTAAATATGAGACAAAAAAATTCCTAACAGGACAGAGGTAAACACTATCCCTACTATATTTTATGAGATGACTAATTATTAGAATATGTAATAATATGTTTTTTAGGTATTTTTAAATATATATTTTATAATACTTTTTGTAAGAAAAAACTTTTTATTTTTTTAATAAGTACTCTTGGGATATTTATTAATAAGATTATTATAATATATTAAGAGAAATACTAAACATTTTTCACAATCACACATTCTATATTGAAATGAAATTTATTAAACATTGTACATATTTTAATAGATATTATATTATGTTTGAGAGTATATCTATCAAATCAATTATTGCTGGAATTTTGTTGAGTATATATTACACATTTGAAGTAACATTTTTTAGGTTTAAATATATTTATTACGTATAAGTTTCGATTTTGGTTCTTATGAAAATATTTATTTTTATCCTTCAAAAATTACAAATTATTACCTTTTATCCATGATATTTAGTTTGTTTACGTCTGCTTAAAAAATATTGTTAAGTTATTTTTAAATAATTACTAAATATATTTTCTTTTTTTAAAATTAATATTATATAAATCTTCCTATTTTAAAATAATTTTTTTAATAAAATTCTTCTACTGTATTTCTGTTTATGATAAACAGATTTCCTAAAAGAAGTAAACAATTATTATTTTTATTATTTATTCTTAATAAATTTATCCAAATAATTTAAAAATCAAAATAAATAATTTATTTTATATAAAAAACTCTTTCTTCTAAAAAAAATAAACAATTATATATATATGATGAAGAAATCACTATTCCAGGTAGCGTGTATTGTAATTATAATATAACGTCAACGTGCGATATTTAATTTTCTTAAATAAATATTATGAATTCCTAATAGTGATTTAAAATTTTGAGGATGAAATCAAATAAAAATTCTTTGCAATATTTAAAATTAAAATTCATTTACTTTATAAATATAACATTATAATTTTAAATTTTACAATAATAAAAAGTAAACAAAAATTGCAAGAATCAAAATCAAAATCCATTATATAAATTATTATATTTATGTTTATCTTTTATATAATAAAATTTGGTACAGTATTTTCAAATAATTAACAAAATTAATGTAATGCATAAGAGATTTGATATAATATTTTAAAATAATTAATAATATTAGTGCAAGGAAAAGTAAAAAAAACATAATTTTAACAAATTTTGTGAATTATTAGCGTAATTTATTTTATGATTAATAAAGTTTACAACTATTGATATATTTTAGTTAATAAATAAAATATATATATGTGAAAATATATTTATAAGTTTTTTATTGTTAAGAAAATAGACCAGTTTAGTTTTTTATTCCATTAAACATATTTTATTTTTAAACTAAATTTTACAAAATTAAAAAGAGTATTATATAAGTGTATTTAGGATTTTAATTATGAAAACAATTATTATAAATTATATTAAAATTATAAAAAATATTTTACTCTATTAAATATAAAAGTTTTCACATTAATTTATTAACTATCGAATATCTTTCGCGTTTTTATTTTATTTTACTAGTTAGGAAGTTGTTAACCAATAAGTTGTTTTTACCAACTGTCACTGAACACGATATGCAAAAAATATTTAAATTTTAAACAACTTATCTTTTATCACGGAAAAAAAGGGGAAAGTACTCCTTATTTTTATCCACATAATTATTTCGTTTTGTCAAATTATTTTTCAATTTAAAATATTGAGAAAATATTAATAATAAAAATTTTAAATATGACAAATTATCTTTTTACATATTCCTACACTAAGAACTGTTATTAGAATGATTTAAAATAAGTGAATTAGACAGCAGTAGAGAGAGGACAAAAATCCTGAGACATAAATTAGAGAAACGTTGGATAGAGTGTTTGTATGCGGTAAAATGGTAACGTGACGAGTGAAAGTGAAGACTGCTATTCTGTCACACTGTTGCAGACTCTGCAGTTGATTGGTGGGTCACCATCTACGATAATACATATTTAATGTTTTTAAATATCATCAAATTTTGTCACTCATGAAAACAATTATTAGTTTTAATTTCAAAATATTTCTTAAACAATTTTTATTTAACTTAATGATAATGTGATATGTATTTAAATATATCTTAAATAAAAAAATTCTTAAACATTCAAATGTGTAAACAAATTCTTCATCATTAAAATATTTTATTAACTTAAGAATATCGATCATTAAAAAAATAAAATTTCAAAATTTTATTAAATATATATTATTAATTTTCTAAATTAATTTAAAAAAATAAAAAATATTTTTTTTTATTTTTCTTTAAGATTTCTCACTCATATTTATCTTTTTCTAATTTTATTTGACTAATTTGATTTGTTTATAGTGAGGCACTATATTTATGCATAATAAGTAATTGACTTGAATTGACACGGAAGGTTTTAATAAAGAATTATATAAAACTTGAAATGTCCATAATTTTCTTTTAAAAGAGAGAATTTAACTTGAGTAATAAGACCTCTAGATTGTATAATTGGTCTTAGTTCATTTTGCTAATGCAAAACTATGTTTGCTCAAACAAAGTGTTTGTAGATGAGAGATAATTGTCTCAGTCTTATTTTTTTTTTAAATGAGAATTTTTTGTCCAAGCGAAAGGCTTCAAATGGATCAGCGTAGTCAATATTATAATCTTGCTCAATCGAGGAGGTATCTCACTCAAGCAACAATATCTCACTTAAATGAGAACATTTCAGAGAAAAATGTGATAACAAGAATTGAATCTTCCTCAAGCAAAGATAAATCACTTAAGCAAGGAATAAATACTACAATGGGATGTAGGTAATGTAATAAATTTAAGATTTTGAATTAAATACTCTAACTTTCTTAATGTTGGATTCACATAAAGAAAAATATTAGGTGATGAGAATCAAATAAAGGTGTTTCTATACTTAACATGCGATATGAAAAAGAATTGTATTTAGTACATCATAGGGGTTAACCTTCTCACATGAGAGAATATGTTCCAATTATGTATCTATGTTGGATATATAAACTTAAAGAAAGTAGTGTGGCAGGTGCATATCTTTGAGTAAATTCAATATATGTTCAAATTCAAGCTAATTTATTGTAACCACAACCATGCAATAACAAAATTTTCATGTGCAACAACCTAATTATGTTTCACAACACCTAAATTATTCATCTCCACCCAACATCTATATTTTCCACAACAAAACATGCCTCCACGAAATCCACCATTCCACTAGCCCTATTAAAACCAAAATAACAAAATACTGCATAGTTTGGCCAATATCAATATGTTACATCCTTCAATAGTGAAATCCAACCATCTTTAGAAAAAATTAATGAGGCAAATGACCATGAATATGCTCCAATTTTAGCAAAGGACTAAACCAAATATAAAATCACTTGAAAACCATATTGGATAACTTGCCAATACAGTGAACCAACAATAGTCCAGGTATTTTGATAAATTTCCCTCCAAACTATAATTAATCCAAAAAATGTAAGTTCTATGACCTTAAAGACAAGGAAGGTACTTGTTGGACCTGTATCTAATGAAGATTCACATGAAAAAACAAAAAATGGACTTGAAATTCATGTGGAAGCATAAACAAAAACTAAAAACCATGTTACTACACCAAAAATAGTGTCCATAGAATCACTAATAACACCTCGAGCTAGTATTGATGCTAGCAACCCTATATAGTTAGAAACTCAAGTTCCATTCCTTCAATCTATAAATTATTTGCACACAAAGAAGGGTGAGGAGTTGTACAAAGAAATCATGCATATTTCCAAAAAAGTTGAGGTTAATATACCCTTACTTGAAGTTCTTAGACAAATTTCTAAATATGCTAAGCTATCAAGGATATGTGCACCAACAAGAGAAGGAACATTTATGTTTAATTTAGTGCACCTAATGTATGTATTCCTAAAGAGTGTAAAGGTTCAAGTGAACTTATTAGTCCTTGTGTCATTGGGAACAAGAGGTTTGAAATTGCAATGCTAGACCTTAGAACCTCAATCTGTTAGACAAATGACATCTAGAGGGGGGTGAATAGATGTACAAATTAAAATAGATGTCAAATTAAAAATTTATTTGTGAGTCAATAATTTGTTAAAGCGGAAGCAATAATATAATCAGGAAAAGAGAAAGAGATAAGGGAAAGAGAAGAGCACACAGAGATTTATACCTGGTTCGGTATAGCCAACTCTACATCCAGCTTCCGACCAACTCTTAACACAAGAGTGACTCCCCATTCACTATCTTTCAAATTCAGTTTACAAATTACAATAAACTCAGCAGAAGAACCAGTAAAAAGTAAACTAATTAAAAAGACAATCACCTCCTTAGAAACCCACTAAGGATGAACACCTCCCTAGAATCCCACTAGGGATGAACACCTCCTCTGAACAAATCAAAGGATGAAAAACTCCTCCTTAGAATCCCACTAAGGATGAACCCCTCCCTAGAATCACACTAGGGATGATAAACACCTCTTTTTCCACCAATGCAAAAAGGATGAAGGTAATAAAAATAAGAACAGACACACCTGGGTAATAGAGACAACAAATTGTAGAAGCCTGTAGAATGTCAATCTCCAATAACAAGTGTGATTAACAATGAGAGTAAGAAGGCAGTAGAGAAGAGGGTTTTCTCAAAAGGTATAAAATATCTCTATTGTCTTGTTCAGAATTTTTTTTCTCAAAACTGATTGAATGTAAATTGTATTTTCGAATTCTGTAATTGTGTCTTTTTTTATTTTTCATCATAACTTAATTAAATAGAAAAATAGCATCAGAAAATGGTCGTTGGACATTAATAATATCATAGAGAAAATCGGGATGTATTCAAAAACATTTATTCTTTAAAATAGATATATTTTCAAATTTGAATTGTCATAATTGATTATATTACCAAGTATAGTTAATTATGATAGAGAAAAATATTTTTCCATTTCTGGTGCATCATAATTAATTATGACAGTGAAAAATATCATGTTATGAATTTTATCACACTTGTGCTTTGGAGGCTTATGCATAATATTACTTCATCAGCTTGTACCTCCATATCCAGTATTCTAAGACTTTATCTAGTCTTTAGTAATCATCTTGGGCTTGCTTGAATCATCATCTTTATCAAAAATATATATTTGGCATATAGGGAAATGTTTCACATTGTCACCTACGTCATAAATTCAGTTTGTCCTTAAATTCATCTTGAATGGTGTTGACTTGAATGTAGTTGACTTGAATCATCATCAAAATCATCTCTTGGGAATGCAGGAACATTTCCATCAATCTTCCCCTCATTGCTTTCACAATCAATGTGATGCCTTTGGTCATGTACTCCTTTCTTTTCCTGAAATTTATGCAATATAATTAACAAATAGAAGTACAGTGTAATCAATTGGAGTTGTAGAAGATGTCTTAGTAAAAGTGAATAATCTCATATTTCAAGTAGATTTTTAGATAGTGGATATGGGAGGTAACTGCTCTAATGATTCTAATCATATATTCAAAATTAGCGATGGGTAAAGGGTGAATTCACTTAGTGAATTTGAGGTAGTATCGATTTATAAAGAGGAAGAAAAAATTTTCACTGAGGGAGAACAAAACTCACTCAATGAAAATCTTCTAGTAGCACCAGTGAAAAATGATTTGAGCGAGAGCTGAACTCACTTAACGAAAATTATGCAAAAACTATTTAAAGTGATTTTTTTTCTTAAAAAGCTTATATGGATGTTAAGTGAAGGCTAATTTCACTAAGCTGGATTTTCAATGAATATCCAACTCTGAAAAATTATGTTAGAGTTGAATTCGTTTAACAAAAATTTTCAAGTGCTTAAACTTTGAGCGAAAATAAAATTCGAAAAAAATAAAAATTTCAAAAGTAATGCATTGATCAAGGTGTTATTGTTAGAATTAATTTTTCAATATCATGGTTATTATGTATTAGATGTTTGAAAATTTGAGTTTAATTATGATATGTTTCTAATTTGCTTGTTATATATGATTCTGTGTATAATTATGTTTAATAAAATGTATATAGGTATTGTAAATAAGAATATTATGTTGGATAAATTATGAGCTCCTTATTATGTTTATATTGAAAAAAAGTCTATTACTTGGTATAGGGAAGAAATTATATCAATTAAGTATCGTATAATTATCTTGGCTTGAATTAATTCTCATTCTTAAAATTAAAATGTACCCAATATAAATAATAATTTAGAAATTTAATGTGCATTATGTATGTTTAATTTATTTAAAATATATACATTGTCTCATAATTCATGTAAAAAAAATATAAGATTTTATGTCTTATGTGAGTTATTAGAGATATTAAATTGAGGTTACAAATTTTTTGTCTCACCTAATTTATTTTTCGAATCTTTTAGGCCAGTACATCATATTAAACTTGTTTTTACACTGTAAAAGATACGAGATTGATAAATAAATAATAAATTATGTGTAAATTAAAAAATAACAATTTCTGATTATTAATTTCAGAAAAAGTTTACCTTCATCTATATTAAACAAGATTTCCTTCCTAATATAAAAATATGTTCTTAAAATAAATAAAGCAATAAGTTAACAAAATCTTATTTAGTAATTTAAACTAAAGAATACTTAAAAGTACTTAATCTTCCATTTAAAAGAAATACACTTTTTTTTTTACGTTATAGGAAAATAGTTGATTTCCAAAATCATTTGAATTTTTTATTTTTATATAATTAATAATTTGTTTATAAAATAAACAGAGAAAAAAGGGAAAAAAAGATTCTACTTATTTCACCTCTTATTGTGACCAGATGAAGTTGTTTATCAAAAGTTTAAAATTAAAGTTGATTGTTAACGAGACCTGACAGCACCAATGAAGTCTATTTTTAATGAAAAAAATGCATGCTTTGGACTATTTTTTGAATTAGAATACCCTTTCAATTTAGACAAATCCTTTCACATATCATTAATTTA